GAGGTATTCAACAAGCAACTACTAGATGCAAGATACAAACCTATATGCTCAACTTTGGAGTATATACGAGTTTATTTGATGAAGAGGATAGTGAATGTCTAGATGGTAATAGAGAAGGCTGTTGGAGCTCTAACACCAACAACAACTAAACTATTGTAAGCAATTAAGAAAGAAGCTCTGGATTACAATGTAGTTTGGAATGGAGTCTGCAAATACGAAGTTAATGATCCATGTATGGACTAGTGTGTTGTAGATGTGAAAGAGAAAACATGTTCTTGTAGGCGTTGGGACCTCACTAGAATTTCATGCAAACATGTTGTCGCTACCATATGGGAAATGGAAAATAATGGAGAAGATGTTGGCATTCATGAAAAATAGGTTCATCCAACATATTTCTTGAAACATGGATGGAGATGTACTCTTCCAAAGTTAACCAATTAAAGGTAGAAACATGTGGTCAAAGTCACTCTGTCCAAACAAGTTGATTCCACCAGCACATCACACCCAAATAGGGAGACCAAAGAAAAAGTGGATGAAGTCAATTGAAGAAATAACGGAAGGATGAAAGAAGCTTAGGAGAATCGGAAAAACTGTAAGGTACAAATGCAATGAACTAGGACACAACTCCCATACAAGCAAGGGACATGCCCCCTAACAGCCTTGGATAGTCACACAGTAGCTTTTGGTATAACATAGACCAGGTGCCTTTTTTGGTAAAACTTACTAGATGGTTGTTTTTCTGGTACAAAATACTTGATGATTGTTCTTTTTCTACAAAATACTTTATGCTTGTTCTTTTGGTACAAAATATGTTATGATGGTTGTATGTCATGACTTGGATTGTAGTATGTCAATGAAATGGTTCAGTTTAAATTTCTTAGGTTTGGCATTTTACGGTTTGTAAACTGGTTTGTCAATGAAAAGGTTCAATTTAAGTTTCTTATGTTTGGCATTTTATGGTTTGTAGACTGGTATGTTAATGAAATGGTATGTGATGGTTTGTTGCAATTGATTGGTTTGTAATATGGAGTGTTTGTATTACCCAAGATGAAAACATAAAATCCAACATAAAACAATCACCAATGGAAATCAAAGATGAAGGTAAAATTAACTTCATTACCTATAGAAAAGCATTACATGTTGGCTATAAAAGATTGATCAGGTCATTACAATCTCTAACAACAACTTAGGTCAACCAAGAAATAAATAAATTACAATTGCCAACCAACTGATACACAACACATACTTCAATCTTTTATTCTCTTTTTTTGCTGCTACTATGTTTTCTTTAACCTTGTCCTTAGATTTCAATAAACCAGAAATTATAGTCATTGCTCGAGGAGATAGAGGCCCTTCATACCAGCTAATGAATCCACAACTTGTTCCCAATCAAAATCAAAATCAAGGATTCTAACAGTTAGGCAAACTACAAAAATGGGAAATTGGTTATCATTCTTGAGTAACATTAGAAGCATCTTCCTTCATTTGTTGTTGTCCATGAAGTTTTAATAATACCAGTTGCATCACACTAACATTGAACCATCATTGGAGAGGATTTGTGTCCTTGAAGCAGGTTGGGGAAGAAATCATGTGAGAGAAGGAAGAAAATGAGGTAAGGGTTAAAATGAAATATTGGATATGCACTAAAAAGAGAGGGAAACACCAAAAGGATGAAATTTCCCCTCATGTGATGGGGACGTGCATTTATTAACGAAGGGATTTAACAGGTCGTTGGTGAGAGGGACTCAATGAATGCGAAAATGAGTTCTAGAGGTACCAAATCTGTATTTATTTTGATTTTGAGATCACTGTGGGTAGAAAGTGTAAACCACAGGGACCAAATCCACAATTTACTTTAAAAAAAAAACTAATTTATCTCTCATCCACCTATACAATTTTCAATCCCAAACCATTATAACACTTTTTAACCCTTCAATAAAACATTACTTATAATTAATAATATAAAAAATAAATAAAAGAATCAATAGTATTATGACATGTGGCAACCAACCCCACCACTTTTTGGTTGCTAGATTGGCTTGAGAGTTGAACCATCTCTTTAGCAACAACCCGTTGAACCATCACCATGTTGACAGTTTCACACGCAACAACTTCCGGTGATGGTTCAAACTGTCGCATTTGTTGGAACAAACACTAAAGAACGCTTCGAAATGTCACGACAGTTCAAATACATGTTCCGTATCACACTTTCATGAATTCTCGCATATGTTGGCATCTTAAACCACTCAAACCATTACCAAGCAGTTGCAACAATTTACAATGATATGCGTCATTAATTATAACAAGTGTAAAAGAAATATTGGCGGCTTTAATTAAGCGGTTGACAAAGTGCAAAGTGTGCTATCAAAATGCCACATTGTATGCACCCACACCCATGGGCCATGGTCACGCATGTATGAGGGTGTGTTGCACCTCTAGAAAACCCCCACCACTTATAATAACTCAATAGAAAAAAAATAGTTCCATTTATCTATCCACTTTTGTTGCACAATATTTTCACTTGTATGGTACAACACGAAACCCATCAAAATCAAATTAACAAAACTATTAGACTATTTTAAGAACTTCGCAAACACTTATATGTGTGCGGATCATTGTTAACACATTGCCAAATCTTGTTTTCTGCATTTGTTGTATCGGATCATATTTGCTCTTCGGTTTCACTTGTTTACTAGTTGTGTACCCGCGCAATGCGGCGGGAGCCATAAATTTTAACGATTTTGAAGTTCCACTGATTTTATAAGATAAGATTTAACGATGATATATGTTACACTTGGTCTTTACATATTAATAAAATTTGAATAAATAAGAGTTATGGTTCCAATTACAGACTAACGATTAAAAAAATTGTATGACAGTTTAAAATCCAATATATTTAAAATCCAACATATTTAAACGACTCCACAAATGTGTTCGATTTACACCAAGAGCAAAGAACCAAGAAACTTGAGTTTTAAGATAAACACTCAAAACCAATAAAGAAAAAAATACAAATTTAACAGATCATAAGCCATGAAAAGACCAAAAAAGATGGGTTTTAGAATGAAATTTCAACTGCTTACCCTCTTTTTTGTCCAAAAACTCAGATTAAGGTTGAATTAATACATATATATACATATATATATATATATATATATTTCAAAAAAACCCAAGAACATATTAATTCAGAACATATTATACAGTGCAATTTGGACAACCTAACCCCAAAATATATAGTATATATATAAATAAATAACTATAAAAGTATAAATCGTAAATATTAAAAATATTTTTTCACAGTATATATAATAATGTAATTAAGTCAAAAACTATTCAATATTAGACTCATTTCGAAGGTATTAACAAGACGATTATAATGGTGTAACTTGTTAAAATAAAAATGTATTTTTTAAACATGTTTTAATTGATATACGATTATGTATATTAATTTGATAAAGATTTAAAATGAAACATTTAAAAGTAAAGGACGTAAAATAAATTAATTAACTAATTATAGGGGTATAAAGTATAAATTTAAAATTATAATTTAAAAAAAAATCGGGTTGTGAGAGGGTGAGTGTATATGAGGAGAGGAGGGAGTGAAAAAGTGAAATAAAGGGTATCTTGGTCATTTAGTTTTTTAAGACTTTAAGACTTTTGTTAAATTTGTTTTGTTAGATAGTATAGATTTAGGACTGAGATCATTCCTTTGTGTTCATCGACAAATACCGACCCACAACTTCTTTATGAACACATCGTATTTAGGTTTGAGTACACTTCCAATGTGATATACAAAAGAATAAAGAGAGATGATGGATTACTAGTTGTCTTTTAATGTGATAGTAGAATGCAATGATGACATCACATAATAGTGTGCAAGCCTCAAGGAGACAACACAACATCCTTTGCTTTCAAGTCTTCCTACTTGCTACAGTTGCTACCAAATCCATTATATTCTTGATGTAGTCTGTCATCATTAAATCGTTCCAACCATATATGATGATAAATCAAGGTATACGTACTTAATTATACCCAATAAAAAAATTTAACATTACGAATACACTATATATGATTCGAATTTTACGTCGACTACACATGTTTATCAAATTATGTATATTATATATGTCGGAAGTTTCAATTCCCTTCTTCAATTACAACGTTTTGTTTAGAAAAAAAAATCAAGAGTGGTTCCACATATTTTTAACAATTGCAAACCCTGAAACAATATAAAAAACTAAATATGATATTACAATAAAATTGGTTTCATAAAACGCCTAAAATGTCTAACCATCCAAATAAAATACTTTATATGATTTAATTTTATATATTGGACCAAACCAAAAAATGTCATACCTAAAAGTGGTACAGCAAGTATCATAGGACACTTTTAGATGTTTTAACAACTTTGGTAAAAACAATTTTAAAGTAAAGTGTCGTATAAGCTATTTTATACCACTCTATTTTTTAAAGTGTCATGTAAAAAGATCATGTCCTATAAACTAGCTGATATGACACTATGTTTTTACAAATATTGGTAAAAAAATCATAAAAACCATTGTAACACCTTTTATATGACCGACCATGGTCATATAAACTTAAGAGCATCTCTAGCAGCTACGTATAATTTTAGAAATTCTAGACATTTGAGAGAAATTTCTTCAATAGGTATGTTAAACTCTCCTCTATATAAATTATAGAGGAAAAAAAAGATGAAATAGAGAAATCTCCAAATTTAGAAGAAGAGAGAAATTATAGCAGATATACCTATAACAGATGCTCTAAATCCTATAAAATATTTTATTATACGACGTTTAGATATCTTATAATAAAATCAATTTTTGTTGTAGTGTAATAAGAATCAACCCTCGTAGGGCATTTTCATTACAGAAGTAAAATCTACTCTTTATTATGAACATACACCCAACAATAGAAGGCCTAGTTAAATGACTCAACCACCACTTATAAAGACAAAGACCCCTTCCCACACATACAAATATCCTTATAAATACGTTTAGACCCTTGAGTTGCCTCTAAGCCAGCTCTCATCAGCCAACACCACTTATATTATAAAAGAAATGGAGAAGATGGCAGTAGCTGCACTGTTCATATCCATGGTGGTTTCTGGTTCATTGATGCACACAGCCATTGGAGCTGTGTATAAGGTTGGCGATACCGCTGGATGGACCACTATCGGCAACGTTAATTACAAGCAGTGGGCTGCTACTAAAACCTTCCAACTTGGTGATACCATTGGTATGTACCTTCTTAAGTTATATATCCTTTCATCTCCTATCCTTTGTTTACTTCTTGGTTATCTTTAGGGTTTAGGGGTAATCATGGTTGGATTCATTTTGTGTGTTGATGTGGTATTTATATGCGATGATCGCCAAAGGGTTATAAATGGTAATTAATCTCAGTTTGAAGGTGTAAACATGATCAAATTGTTGGGAAGTGTCTCAAGCTTTTGTGTTTTTCTTGCCCTCTCCATTATATATCAACTACTACATTGTATAGAATCTCATATTTAATTTTAGTGTGTGTGTATATATATGTAATATATATATATATATATATATATATATGTAATATGTCTCCAAGACTCGAACATAAAAGCATATACATGTTCTTGTCAAATCTACCATACATTTACTCTCCATATTTTAATGACTTGATAGGCAATTTCATGATTGTTTTTGGTGAAGCAAAAATCACTACGAAAAAAGAATGAATCTTTGAATATGCATAGTAATTGGTTCTATACAATTAAAACTTGTATCAAGTATTTTACTAAAACATTTAAGAACGACGATATATAGGTGTCCTTAAAATTAAAACCCATGCTACAATAAAATTGAGTTTATAGAATGTTAATAATTTTTAGATATCTTAATAGACCAATTTATAAGATTTATGGTAGTAAGACGAAACAATAAAGCGTAATAATTAAAGATGTAATAAGTTTATAGAACACTTTTTGAGCGTCTTAACAAGTTTTTAAGACACTTTATATAAAAGCGTCGTATTATCTATTTTATATGATATTTGTAGCAATATCTTATCAACATATGTTTTATAGGACAATTATTTTTATAAGACACTTTTTCAAATAGTGTTCCATAAAATAACACGTCTTTATAAAAATATCTCAAAAACCATGTTATGATGCCCAAAAAGATCATAGAAACTTATTACAACATCTTTAGTCATGACACTTTATTGTTTGGTCGTATAAATTAGTGTTATAAAACAGTCTATTATGACGTTTAGACATTTTTTACATGATGATGTATATAATTTAACTTAAAAGAAATGAATGGCTTGGTTCTGATGAATTCAATTTCTAATAATTGCATTCTCGAAAGTAGTTCTACTTTATTATCACGTCTGAATTATTGCATTCCAAAAGTATAGTGCTCCTTTATTGTCATGTATGTTGTACTGCAACACTATGATCTTTTTCGTGATTTACGTATTAAAGTTTCAAGTTTAATGCTTTGTCTTTATAGGAAAGCATTTCGTAGTTGATGGTGTTTTACTTCATGATTTTGTCTAACATTTTAGCTTATTGTGATGACTCATCGAAAGAGACAACTCTGTAACATTATGCTATAAAAATACGTATTCATCGCAATGAAATCCGATATATCATAGGTCAAAAATGTCTAAATGTTATAAAAGATGGTTTTGTAGGCCTTAAGTTTATAGGACTTCAGTTTATAAGATCAAACAATCGTGCATCATGTGTAAAAACGTTGTATAAATTTATAAAACACTTTTAAACGTTTTAACAAGTTTATAGGATATTTTTAATAAAGTGTCGTATTTGTTTTCACATGACACTATTTAAATGCATCTTTATGTAGGCTTTATATATAAGACATTTTTGTCATGTCTTCGTATCATTTCGAAAGTGTCCTAAAGCCTTATAAGATGCTTAAAAGCATCTTATAAATATATTACAATGCTTTTACATATGACACACAATTTGATGCCCCTTTTATATAGCACTTCTAAAAAGTGGCATATATACACCTCTCTTTATAAGAGGGTTCTTCAAAATGTCATGTAAAACAAATATAATTGTAATATTTTTATATATGAGATACAACTGTTAGGACGTTTTTATATAGGAGGGCACAATTTTTTATAACTATCATAAAATACTTGTTAGAACAATTAAAAAACGTCTTATTAATAAATTAACTTATTGTAGCATATTTACATAAGACGGACAATCGTTTCATCATGTAAACTTAAGTCTTCTAAATCAGTTTATTACGATATTTGCATATATTTAACATCTTATAAAATCAAATTTATTGTATTGTCTTCTCCAAACAAATTTGAGATGTTTAGTATAACTATGTTTTTTATACAATTAAGTTCGCTTATTATAACTTTATGAACGAAAAATGTATTATAACATTTTAAACAAAAAATATATGAGTTTTGAGAAAGAGGTTCGTGACATCTAAATCTTGAGTCTTTACCTCTATGTTAGATTTTTTCTAAAGTATATAATATTTATATATGATAAACACTCGCAGATATTCCTAATCTTTGGTTAAGTTTAAAACCCTTGAACTGTTGGAAGGCAACCGCAACCGGGTACCGCTAGGCCAATGACCTTTGATCTCTACTACTTATTGGCTTTGCTTGTTTGGTATCCATGATATTTTTATCAAAACAATCATGGTGTTTTGTTATTACATTGATAGCCTAATTGTATGAAATTAATGATACACTGATAATATTCATTTTTTCTGGTTAATAAAGATTATAAAGCGCGATTTAAAACAAAACAAAAAATCTGGTTCATAAGAATTATAAAGTTTGGTCATAAAGTAATGCAGTTTTCTCACCAGAATTTGACAAGATTTCATGGAAATTTGTTATCTCAGTTTTCTCGTACAACAAGCAGTTTCACAATGTGATGCAAGTCACCCATGCCGATTATAGGTCCTGCAATGCTTCGGCACCCATCACCACCCACTCTACGGGCAATGACACCATCATCATCAAGACTTCCGGCCACCACTACTTCCTCTGTGCAGTCCCAGGCCATTGCCAAGCCGGACAAAAGCTTGACATTAACGTTCAACGAGTTTCTTCCACGTTGGCTCCGACTCCATCTGAGTCGGGTTCATCACCATTAGCTTCTATGTCATCTCCAACATCTTCTCCTACTAGTGCCACAGCAAGTAAGCCTAATTCGATAGGTAAATCTAGTTCGTCGACTATGTCCCTAGTTACACTGGGGTTGGCTATTGCTGTTTTTGGTGGTATTGTGTGATTGTTTGATCTCTCTCTCTCATGGTGAACGAGATTGGAGGGCACAACTTCTCGCATTTGGTATGGCAAGTTTGTGTTAAGAATCTCAATAAATTTTTGACGATTGTGGTGATTTTATGTAATGGGGATTATCCTCTATTTTTTATTTGTAATTGATCAAACCCGCAGAAACAATAACGAAGTTCAAGTTGTGCAATGAACTTCATTTACTTAGGCAATTTGGTGTAGAAGATATAAACTTTTCTTGAGAATTTGGGTACAATAGTTAATGACAGTGATCATTGGGATATGGTACGAGAACTATATTCTTAAACCAACTTTTCAATTTAAGGTCAACCAGAATCACAAGATGAGCACTTAAATCATTGTTTGAGCCATCTTCAACATTAGTCTTCCTTTCGTCAGCTTCAACATTAGACATTCTTAGTCTTCAGGGTTATCATACATTACAATAAAATCGGGTTTATGGGACATTTCTAAATTCTAAGCGTTCTAATAGATCTCTTTATAAGACTTAGTTTATAGGACCAAAAAAATAAAGTGTCCTATCTAAAAGTGTTGTAATAAGTTTATATGACGTTTTTTTGACATCGTAATAAGTTTTTTAGAACACTTTTAATATAAAGCGTCTCATTATCAACTTTATAGAACACTATTTGAAAAACTATACTATAAAAACAAGTGTCCTATAAAAAATTGAGTTTATCGGACAATTTCTCAAAAATGTCCTCAAAAACTTGTTAAGACGCCCAAAAACGTTATATAAACTTACAACAACGCCTTTAAATAGAACGTTTTATATTTTGGTCATATAAATTAAGTCTTATAAAACGATTTATTAGAACTATTAAAGATTGTGGACGTCCTATAAACCCAATTTTAATTTTGTTGTAGTATGAAATGTTCAGTATCAGAATACAAAAAAATTTCTCTTTTTTAATGACAAGTGTTTTACTCCTTTAATATTTCAGTATTCAGTGTCAGACTTTGGAGACTTGAACGACAATATTGGGGAAATTTTCAAAATAGTATAAAAAGTTTCTATTTGTTTTGGGTCGAGTCTTGGGAAAAGAGAAGCTTTAAGTTTAATGGTTTTACTTTGTTCCACATAGGACCAAAATGAAACCTGAAGCAGGTATAAGTGACAGATTCAACAGGTACTGTCACAAAAAGAAAAGACAATTTTCCGAAAAGTCACCCTTGGTGACAGTATCAGTATGGACAGATGTCGCAAGGGAATAGACAACCCTTTTCGCCTATGAGTCTCTTCCCTTTTGAGTATGGCATCGCCATGGATCTTCAAGTACTATCTCTGTATCTCCATGACCAAATCTTCACTTTCTCAACGCATTTCTATAGACAAGGAATCCGTTATTTCTTCACCTTTTGGTGACAGTTGGGACAGGCGTTGCAAAAGGAAAAGGCAGCCAGTTGAAAAGTCACTTTTGGTGATAGTTTGGATTAGTGTAACAAATGGTGACTGTTTGAAGAGTCACCAACTTTAACATCCTTTTTCTGCAAAACATGTAGAAAATTCTCACTTTTCTCTCATACAAAATTACCTTTAAAAGTGTGTGGCTATAGAAACACACTTTTTTGGTGTCTTGAAATCCTTGATTACTTACTAGTTCACGTGGATTATCACCAACCGTGCATTGTTGATAATCGCACCACATACGTTGCTTCATTGTATCTTGGGAAGCAATTCGTCAAAGGACGAAATTGTTTTAAGGATAGAGATTACAGTTACACGCCTTAAAAGCAAGCAACAAGTGGTAGTTTATTATAACTCTTTTCTTAGCCTAATTTAGTACCCAGAAACCAACAACCTAAACACAATCAATTTCCAAGCAAATATGACAACCAAGAATCTTCAACAAATGTCATGCGACATCGTTAAGTTGGAGCACTTTGACGGTGGAGGTTTTAGAAGGTGGCAAAAGAAGATGTGACAAAAATATCAAAACGGCAAAAAAACTTTGGAACGAAATCAAACAAAAATATTTCACTGGAAACAAGATAAGTAAGAAATTTAGCGTTGATATAAGATGGTAAATTATTGCCCTATTATGGATCAAATGTTTGGAATTGAGCCCATTCTGTTGCGGTTTAAACGATTCAAAAACAATTAAGGAATCATTGCATAGCGGAAAATTAACAGTTTAAAATTTTATGAACCCCAAAAGCCCGGATCCAGTTAGAACATTAATGATCAACCAAACACATCAACTCATAGGATGTTCGGGGTCCTTTAAAGTAGGAGATGATGATCACGATTGATTACGACTATATATCATTATCCACACGAGCAAATACGGAATTCTGCTAGACACCAAGTAATCAAAGATAATCTTTCTCCTATGTTTCTTGCTTGTCTTCGTCGACCAAGGGAAGGGAAGGAGAAAAGAGGCATTAGGGTTTTCAGTATTATGGGTAGTTATCTTTTATGACCAAGTTGTCTCCTCTTGTACCCAAACGCTTACCCGGGTAAGCACTTATCAAATAACATTACCTCACCGGATAAATATCGTAAGGACCAAGAATCTTACCCGGCAAGAGCGAGACAAGGAACATAATCTTACCCGGTAAGGAAGGGCGACGACTCTTACCACAGTAAAAGCTTACCGGGTAAATTGTTACATACGATGTCGTTTTAGTGAACTAAAATCTTACCCGATAAGTAAATCATGGTGTTAAATTTTAATGGTAAGCACTTATCGGATAAGTGTTTGGTAAACGGCCATTTATAATGTTAGGTGGGCTTTTCAAATTTTCATGCCAACTCAAACCATGTAATTAATTACCATTAATTAATTATATTGCTATTGAATAAACTCATTTATTTACTTTATTAAATAAACTATTTTATTTAATTCACTTTTATTTAGTAAATAATAAGTAACCAATTATTTATTTATTTATTCTACTTGGCAAATAATAATATATAACACATAAATATATTATTTATTCTATATAGCTATTAGTGTATGACCTCATAGTCTCACGTATAATTAGCAGTGTAGTAAACTGTTTTGTATCTTTCATATTATATCCAATAGACTCACTACTAGAAAACCAGGTATCAGCAACGAATATCAGCGAGGGAAATTTTCCCTCGCAGATCAGCGAGGGAAATGCCAAAAAACTCATTCCCTTGCTGATCCCTCGCTGATCTGCGAGGGAAAATTTCTCTCGCTGATCCCTCGCTGATCAGCGAGGGAAATGCCAAAAAACTCATTCCTTCGCTGATCCCTCGCTGATCTGCGAAGGAAACAATCCCTCGCTGATCCCTCGCTGATCTGCGAAGGAAACAATCCCTCGCTGATCCCTCGCTGATCAGCGAGGGATCAGCGAGGGAAATACCAAAAAAATCATTCCCTCGCTGATCCCTCGCTAATTTGCGAGGGAAGTTTCTTCTGCAAATTCCCTCGCTAATCCCTCGCAAATCAGCGAGAGAAATGACAAAAATTCAGAATCTCTCGCTGATCCCTCGCAAAGATGAACCAGAATTTGAATGTGGCGACGAATCGAACGAAGATAGCGAAGATGAACCAAAATTTGAAGACATAGATGATGATTCAAATGATGAAGATGAACCGATGTTTTCTGATCATTCTTCTGATGAGTAGCTTGTCTTCTGTATGCTTATTTAACAGTTGTACATATATAATCGCGATTGGTCATTATCTTTTTTCATGATATAATATAATGTTTGTTTTTTCAGGAGATGTCACGCCGAGATCGTGGTAGAGGCCGTCATGGGAGCCGTGGCAGCCCCATGTATGGTAGGGGTAGCAATTATGCCTGTGCCGATGACATTGTAGAGTTTTCGGACACCGCTTTTCGCGGTTTAGATGATCAATAGGAGGCCGTGGCGACCCCAGCTTCGACAGGTTCGGGGTCGAGGAGAGGCCCCAACCTAGAGATGCTGACACCGAGTCATCCGAGCCACTGAAGACATCTGTCTTTGTTAGGCCATGGGTAAGTAGATGTGGTATAAGACTTTGTATTACATAATAAATTAATATGACTGTCTTTGTGTTGAAAATAWTTGTTTAATTGTACAAGTTTAAAGATGCCCATGTTATCCGAGAGATGACGACTATCTTCAGGTCTTCCTTTGCTGGTCCGTGGCATAGATGGAAGGAAGTACCTCAGGAAGCACGTGACTTGATGTTCCAGCGCTTTAGGGTTGGTGTACCATTTTAATGACATTATACATACAAGATTATTGTTTTTACATTTATACAAACATTGTGTGTGTAGGCTAAGTTCCAATGGGATCTTGAGCTGGATGACACGGTTCATTTATTATGGACCAAAGCCATGCACAACAGGTACTCTGATTGGATGAGCTCTGCACGTGATTGGGCCGTGGCACAGGCCTATCCT